CGATCAAAACAAAACCAAAGCAACGCAGCAGCTTGTTAATAGCTTGAAACATTTCCAAATCACATTAGATGTCTCAAATGTTGAATTWTTGTCTAAGGACAAAAAATGCTATCTCTTTTTGTGAAGACTTCAGTGAATGTAGGTTAATATTGGCTTCTATCAGCTCTGTGGCCTCTTGTCTTTGAGAAATAGATGACTAACACATAAGATTTTTAAGTTTTTTTGGATTTGATACCAGCATTTTGGCCATTTATGGTTTTGTACATCATTGATTCCCAAACTTTTCAGCCTTTGACACACAAAATACAAGCAGCAGAGACCTGTGACCCCAGCTGTTGTTGGTTGATAAACATTGTTTTCACGTCAAATAAACAAGAGCGTGGTATCATTATTTATTACGCTATTTTATCCATTTTAAGTACATTAATCTTATTCTTTTGTAACAACAAAGGCAAAAAAATGTTGTCATCTTTTAGTGTAATTATTTCAGAAAATATTTTGAGGACCCCACCTTGCTGTTTCAGGACCCCACTGTGGGTCCCACTCCCTACTATGGGAACCACTGTTGTGCATCATTAAACCAAAATACCAAAAATTCCTACTTGACTCATGGAATTCATGTGTTCTGGGCAAACCAGTCTTTTAAACTTTGGAGATGCAGGTTGCCTGAGAAAATGTATCTAATTGTGTTCCTAAATGCATCTTTTATCTAAAGTTGCAAAAATGTTTATTTCCTAATGGGAAATGTTTTGAAATTTATTCGTGAAGGATTATTCTGGGTCAAAATACAGTACCCCAATCCACCAGAATTTTCTTTGTATGTTTTCATAAAGAATGTGCAACAAATATTTTATCCTTTATCGTTTTGATTATTTCTTAGGCTGATTGTCTTCTTCTCTGCACTGTATTTCACCTTTAACAAAAATGGTTTTTTTTTTTTGTAATTTCTGTGCCAAATGCAATATGCAAGAGGAACACATGATGGAAAGCATCTGTGCTGAGACACTTAAGAGCGCCTCCATCGATAACAAACTATCTTCTTCCACCTGAGGCTGTTTGTTTTCAGCTAATTGATGGATGGTTGAATTTCCATGTGGGAAAATGCAGCTTCACATCCAATCTGTTTCACTTAACTACCAGCCGCKATGCCAGTGGTTAGCTGATTATCTCTGGCCTGCATCATTAGCAGCAAGTCAGGACCGCCATGCTGCCATCAGTCACTTCACCATCTTTGGGATCACGTGGATCTTTGTGGTCTCTGGGGTACTATGGGTGGCTTATGGATGAGAGGCTTAATACTCTCAGTCTGTCTCTCTGGAGAGTAAGTTTGATCGTAACACAGSAATCAAATCGAATCACAGAGATAAAATCTTGGCCAAATGTACAGACGTCATTCACCCAACATAACCAGTGAGTAACGGCTAAAAGGATACAGTTATACCATCAAGCCTCCGGTCGTGCACAGGTCTGTAAAATCAATCACACAACTGTTCATTCTGTAATTAAGTTTGCAGGTAGTGCTTATTACTTTAGCTGTGTGTGTTTTCTGGTGACCAGGATTATAAAGTTACATAGACTGAGCTTTCAAAAATTCAGTCACTTGACACCCCCCCCAAAAAAAGATTTTCTTTTCTCTGTCTAAATATGTTTTTCATCCATCCATCCATCCATTTTCTGTACACGCTTCTTCCTTTTCAGGGTTGCGTGGGTCACTGGTGCCCATATCCAGCAGTCACAGTGCGAGGGGCAGGGTACACCCTGGACAGGTCGCAAGTCCATCACAGGGCCTAAATATGTTTTTCATTCAAAATAAAAAAAAAATTCTACCATTACTACTGAAGGAATTGTGAATCTGGTTTTCTGTTTTTAATCATCTTGAAATAACGAAYCACATTTTCACTTGAGACTGAGCTCCATCATCGATAACGGCTCCTGTGGTGGTGCATAGACCCCATCATACAATCCTGGTCAGGCCCATGTGGGTCATTTCCATGTGCAGCGCTGAAAGGCATTGATTTAATCTGCCCAGCTCTGACCCCGTATGAGCCCCGTGAGGGGGGCTTCGGCTTCCAAGGTCCATAGCACCAGAGTTGCACAGTCAGTCGTCCTTCATCATAATTATGTCCAGCCAGATCCAGTGTCTCCGGTTCTTCCTGTTCAACACAAATGAGTTCAGGGAATTCAATTTTGCATTATGATTTTTTTTCATGCTGTAATATCTTTGACACAGAAGAAACTTTACTTCCAAAATCAGCAGGCTGAGCCACGAATACTAAAATACACAATAGCCTTCAAACATTTTTCATGATGGTTCTTTCTTAAGTTCGCTTCTGTCAGTGTGCCCCAGGGCAGCTGTGGCTACAGTGTAGTTTGCCATCATCAGTGTGTGAATGGGTGAATGTTTGTTTGTGTAAAGCGCTTTGGGGTCCGGAGGGACTTGAAAAGCGCTCTATCAGTTCAGTACCATTTACCATTTACCATTTACCATTTACCATTTACCATTTAAGGGACACCATAGCAAACATTACATCATAAACTTTTACATCATCGTCAGTTCAGCAGAAAGTGTCACAACTAGCAGCTACTGCATTTACAAATAACCACAGACTTTTATACAACTACCAGTCTAATGTAAACTTGACAGCGATGTTGGATTTTTCAATATCATGTTATGATCCTCACAATCACCATAAAGGAAGTAAAATTAGAGCCTCAGATTGACACCATTCACTTTGCTTTGCTTTGTCTGGACTCTAGGAGCCTTTAGACACACATATCAAAGCACGTTAAAATCTCATCTAAAGCTGAAAGAATTGATTTCCGTCAGCTGCATGTGTGGGAAGACATGTCCGTAAACCGTGTCCATTAAAAGGACCTTACAGTGACAAATGAGATCAGTTTTGTGGCTTTTTAACACAAAAATGGCCATCAGAGTGTTTCAAGTGAACGACCCTGTCATTGTTTATTTATTTATTTATTATTATTATAATTTTTTTCATTCGTTTAATTTGGTTTCTGTCTTTAGGACGCTATTTAAAAAGATGTCATTTATTTTAWTTTAACAACCTGTAAAAGCACATAAATTTTATTATTGTTCCCCTGGTCTGTCAGCCTCTCAGTAAATAATCTTTGACGTACAATTTTGCATGCCTTTCAGTTTGCTCCAGAGAAAGCTTTCATGGCAAAAAATAAAATAAAATAATAAAGCGAAGCAGACAAGCTCCTTGACTGACATCAGCAGAAGGCCACCTCTAAATCAGACCTACAGGGAGCTGGAAGGAGGATCTGAGATGGCCTAGAGACCAATCGATTTATTCAGGATTTGTAGACGTGCTCCTCAAGACAGGTGAGGTTTAATACCTCTCCATGAGCTGTAAAAAAAATGGCGCTGTCAAGTGCATTCAGAGGGGGTCACATTTAGTCTTGTTCTATCTGCCGGCGTCACATGAAGTCATCTGTCTTCTTTACTCCTGCTGTATGACTCGTGGGACACAGAAGTCAGTAGTGGTCTCACCTTCCTGTCTATCAAGCAGAAGCAGAATACATTAATGAACATTTAATCTGTTCACCCTGGAGGCTATTCATTACCGACTGCTCCGGTTAATGTAATAGACTTGGACTGTTCAGATAAGCTTGAACTCAATGTGTTGCTTTTTCTCCCCCATTTTTTTACTATTTATTTGCTTATTTCCTGAGAGAGGAAAACATCTAGCCACAAGGCACATGTGAAGTTTAATTACCAGCATCTACTTCATTTGTAAAATGAAGCCCAAAACTTGAAATTAAACTCCTTTGCTGCATACAGATTGTACTCTTCAGTCCTTCAATGAACAAACTGCTTCGGCCAAACATTTAACTGAGATTTGTAGGGCCACATGATTTCCACAATGCAGAAATTACGGACAAAATCATCGAATTAACACATTGGAATCCAGTACAAAATGTGGAATCTCGTGGAATTTGCTCATTTGGTTGAGATTCTGACATATTTTGGACAACACAATGTACTTTGGATGCTGCTGTTTTCTGCACCTGTCATTACTTGGTTTATTTATTTAATTATTTATTCACTTTCAAGGCAATGTTTTTATCTCTATGTTTAATTTGAGTTGAAAAAAAAAATAAAATGCCTGAGAATTAAATGTTCTAGGGGGTTAAATAAATAATTTTCATTTAATAGTCAGTTGTAGTACATTATAGTTCTGGAGAATCATTGTTACGTTTGACTGAAGGGGTCATAGTGACAACATGGCTCAGGGGGTACACAAGTCTAAAAAGGTTTGGGAACCACTGTTTTAGGTCAGAGTGTATGCTACAGTATATAACACTCTAGTTCTTGTGTTTTTGTGCATCCCTCCCATTTTGAAAGTTCTGTTTATGGCCAGACGTCTCTGGACAGATGGATGGACCTTATGCCATTTTTCCATCATCAAGTCTCACCACGACTTGCTTGGACCGTTCGGTTCTCCGTAGAGGTGGGTTTTGATCTGAGTGCCGCTTGTGGACCTGATCAGCAAGACAGCTTGACAATGGCATTAGTTTAAAATAGCTTATCTCCAGTTAATAAATAAAGTGAAAAAAGTAAGAATTTTTGCACATAAATTTATGGCCAAGTCAAGGCCACCATTTCTCCCCTTATGAATCACATCCATCTTGGTCTAGCTTTCCCTGACTTCTGTCTTCAGCCATATAGCAAGGAAATTTATGTCTCCTCGTAGTACCATGATGTTGGCTTACACACTGTAAAAAATGAAATGTTGGATTTACTTAACCATGTTATGTGACCTGGTTCCACTTAACTGAGTTGAGTAAATTCAAAGCAACATACTCATGTTCTTTGGCTAAAAAACTGGTATATTGCTTTGAAGTTACTCATCTCAGTTAAGTGGAACCAGGTCACATAACATGGTTAAGTAAATCCAACATTTCATTTTTAGAGTGCATGTTGCCATTTTATTAGAGTGAAAAAAAGAATGCTGCAATTGCAAGTTTTAAAACTGGTGAGTCAGATTGTTGTGAAGGAGAGGCTCTCATGATTGACATTCTCTGGCCAAATAATAACATGCAGTTTGATGAATACAAATCATCTTGACTTGCCACACTTAAAACCTTGGACAAGTACAAGAACCAAGCTGCTGAAGCGGTAGGATCACCCAGTGGAAAACTTTGATCCCATGTTRTGTCAGACTGAGTCCAGCCCATGGCAAAGGACAGTAAGTCCCACAATTTTTTAATAATTCTGTGTGAATGCCACTGCAGAGCATCTTTATATTTCAAAGGAAAAGTGACAAATGTGTTGAAAAAAGCTTATTGTTCTTGAATATTTTCAAAAYGGACAGATGTTATGTAAAAGAGAACAAAAACTGCAATACTGATACCAAAATGGCATTGTTGTAAATGGTCTGAACAAAGCAGAAGAGCAGAACACAAAATTCCTGCCAGTCAGATCTGACTGACACCATCAAAGAGCCTCCAGTGCAGAAATATTAGTTGATGGTACAGTAAAATTATGCATCTACAGACTGAGGCTTGGGTCCAAATTGCAACTTCAATCTCCGTGAAATTGCCTTTTATTTATTACTTTCTTGGGGGCAGTACTTCAAAGTAAAAGCACTCCTCTATGAACACATTGGTGCTTGCAAATTTAGGAAATGCATTTAGACATAAATAGATTTTGAAAAAGTGTTCAAATGGAAAATTTGAAACCAAACCAACTCAAGTGTTTGTCATAATGAAAACGTGCCACAAATCTTTGACAATAACTTTAAGGACTCTATCCTTTAGGTTGTAGCAGTTAATCTGAAACTAAAATGTGAGTGAAGTGTTTTTATTTATAGAAATAAAACAGAACTGTCAATCATGAGCAAGGGAGAATGCACATGTTGTTTTCTCATGTTGCTGTTTAAGTTAAGGAAGAAGTGTCCATTTTGTTTTACTTATGCAGCTGGGTGTTTTGTTGCTGTATTTTCACTCAGAACTGTTGGGGATCAGTAGCTGCATTCTTTTATACAAGATCATCATGAGTTTTGTGTCAAAGTAAAAAGTAAATTGCTCATAATGCAAATAACTGAGTTTAGTTCCTACATTTTGGGCTTTTTACAGTCTAAAAGTTGAAACACTCTTGGCTTACACAAATGTGGACACACACAGACTGAACAAAGCTAAAAGATACTTGAATATACCGTGTGATCCAGAGAGATAAGCTGACCCCTCCTGCAGGTGACGGGACGGTCTGTGATCAATATCTTCACATGAGTCTGAGACTCTGATAGAGGAGCCAAGCACTTCAGGTAATGAGCTGCCTTCTTGATATATATCCCCCACAGGGTGGGATTGCAGTGGTGCAACATGGTACTGCAACCGCAGCAATTCTTTGATTAGCAATTTCTCTTCCATCACACTTCCTTGGCACACAGAAAAATCTTGGGCACACAGTTTGTAGGCGCATGTCGACTCATCACCATGCAGACCATGTGTCATGTATTCCAAGTTCCACGAGCCTGAGACTAAATTCTGTGTCATTCGAAAAGACAGTAACAGGTGACTCGTTTTTCAAGAAGTTATCTTCATATGGTCATGTGTCAATTGTGTATAAATTGATTAAAATGTTTTACTTTGACATCTCCACCAAAAGTTAGTGTTGATTACATTATTATGTCTCAAACGATCACTTTGCACAACGGCCAAAATGGACGTTCTCCTACTTCAACCTGATAAACACCAGAGAGCCCAGACCAGATCAGCTCATATTGATCTGCTTGCAGTGAAAAACGGGTCATTTGGGTTCAAATTTATAACCCGAGGACAGACCTTGAGACTAACTCTTCATGCCTGATACAGGGTTTTTACCGGTCAGTATAATGACACTTTAAGCAGCCAGCTGATAGTAAATCTGCTATGCTAAGATTGCACYGCTGCAGCTCTAACTGAGCCTGACGTCACTAAATCTCCCAATGGACCAGAAGATTATTTATTGACATGTTGTGAGCAGAGGGAAGGAAGCAAATGAAATGATCTGGAGCTACCAAATGACAATCAAGATGAGACCCCCCACCCAATAATAAT